AAGGTTACTCATTTGGTAGATTTTGTCTGTACATTACAGTCAACCAGGGCTATGACTGTCACAGTGGAATATGCCTGAAATAGATCTAATAATCAGACGCTATTTCACATTATTATATCATTTGTAATAAGTAGGTTAATCCCTTGAGTTCTAATTGGCTCAGAGAATCTCCTCGGCCTTTTTATATTAGCTTAACAAGCTGGAACTACTTTCAAGCTCACCCCCGCCACCACCACCCATGACCCCATCACAGAGCAAAATCAATACGCCTTCTTCCCAGGAAATTCAAAGCCATTGATTGGTGACATTTATGCAAGAATTCAATCCCCCTTTTTGAAGAGGTCCTGTAAACCTGCCCCCTCATGAAATATAATCAGCAATAAAAATTAAACAAATCCAGCATTTCATTGAGGTTTTGCAATAATCACTGTGCAGCAAGACAATTACAAAAATGGCACCATATTGATTCTGTAACATGCTGAATTTATTTCAGCACTCTACAGTGCAGTAACAATATTTCACTGACAGATATATAAACAATCTACAAATATAATACAAATTTGTCAGAAGTCAGAAGGAAAAGCAATCTTAAAAAAATGACTTTTTTAATTTAAAATGAGCAAGAGCTTGAAATGGGTGTAAACTAATGCCAAACCCCAGTCATCTCCATACTCCATACTGTTATCTATAGGGAATAGTTCTGCTGACAGTCCTGGGTTTTCACAGGATTGTCATTCAGCTGCCTGCTGAACCCAACTGCTGTAAATTTAGGAAGCACATTCACATTTGAAATTATTAGACTCCCTGCCTTCCCAAAACGCATGGGAGAGATGATTTAGATGCAAAAGCATCACCTAATAACACATTTTATAATTATATACACATTTAGATATTTGGCTGACACATTTATGTCAGCGAATACATTTGTACTCATTTACACAGCTGGGCATTGGACTATAACAATGTCGATGAAGCACCTTGCCCAGGGGTACACTTGTCTTTCCTGGGATTTGAACCCCCAAACTCCCAGCTTGGAGACTTGCACCCCATTCACAGGGCATGATGACACTGTTAAGGTGGAATCACGTGGTCCCCAGTGAGCCCGCCTCCCCTTCAACAGCTGCATCTCCCAGCCGGGCAGATGTGCTCCGTCTTCCACCTCACATAGGAGGAGGCTAATACTGTACGGTCCTTCATTGTAAAAACATGACTTAATCCAGAGAGCAAAGGAAACTCATTGCGTATCAGTACATCAGCCCATTAGGTAGTCAGAGGCGGTCCGCGTGACAGACTCTTTACAAAAAAAAATACACGCAATGATACATTCAAAAAGCCATTTATATTATTGAGGAATCCTTTAATTTACGAAGCGTTTTTAAAAAGATGATACACACGCTAAAAAATGGATATTTAATAGGCGTTAGTGGGGGTTCCAGATCATCATTTGAAAAACTTGACGTAAAACTTGTGATTTGTTAACAAAAAAAAAGTATAAAACACACGAAACTCCACGTTATACGATGTCAAAGTTTTGATGCTATAAAAAACTAAAGCAGGTGGAATTTATAGGGGAAAGACGACATTTATTGCCGACATGCTATATACAAAACGTTCCACGGTTTGGGCGATTAATCACTCCTGTTAAAACACAGAACTTCTGATCATGAATGAAAAGGGTCTGAGTTGTTTTTCCACTTTACATAATTACATAATTCCAGAGAAACTCGCTATTCTGTCGCGTACTGTACTTTATACGCGATATGGTTAGGTCAATATTGTACTCCCAACACAATAGAAATATAATTAACAAAAATCATGATTTTAAGATGGTTATGAAAATCCCATCCTATACCCACAGGGCAATAAATACGTCTTGCTAAACTGTGAGTTAGTGGACAGACGATGGCTGATAATTGTTTTTTAAAAGGCAAGTATGCCGAAAATGCAGAACACTAATTATACACCACACAAACTGATTCTTTTAATAAGAACTAGCAGGTAGAACCGGAGCCAAAGAGGGAGAGAAACTCACGAAAGAATGTGCCGAGTAAATAGCCTGTATACAGACTAAGCCGTGCTAAACTTAAAGACGGACTGAACTTCCGTGGAATTTCGGGAGACGGCGCGTGTGTGTACGTGTGAGAATGCGTGTCGGGGATGATGAGGGGTGTAGGCTTGTTTGGTTATGGAAGCGTGTTAAAAACAGATCTGTTCGCATCTCCTCCTTCATTTCAAATGCCGATATTTGAAAGCGGATATTTTCCAAGGGGCTGAGGCAGAGAAGCCTGGGTTCTGGTCTCCGAGGAGAAAACTGACCCTCCAACATCTCCACCACAGTGACTTTACCATATAGACTTAAACTCCGAAGGGGAAAGGAAACTACGAGAAACCGAGAGGGGGAGAAATTAGAGCGAGGAGCGGCGTCAACGTATGACTAAACAGTGAAAAGAAAAAAAAAGTTTTGCCAGTGAAACCATGTGTGGGTGTCACATTTGCCGTTGTTCTTTCCTGAGGGGAATGGTGGGAAGGGCAGGGACAGACAGGGACCACAGCCGGGCTATTGAGCCAGCTGGACCAGGTTGTCCAGAGAGAGGACAGGCTGGAAAAGCAGGCAGCCAAAGAGACAGAGATCAGTTCAGAGCTGTACTTTTTACTCCGGGAACTTTGGGGGGTACACATCAACACACCTTTGAACGGTAAAATCTGAATGAGAAAAATAAACGGTTGTGGTGTTGGAGGAGTTGAACTTAGATTAGACAGCCCAGTACTCCGCCTGCTGCCTTCGGGAACAGAGAGCCCCTGCGCTTCAGGAAGAGCTCGACCCTGAGGCGTTATGAGGCCAAGACAGGGTAGACAGCAGCTGCGCAGCACTATACAGCTTTTGTTTCCCACTGATAAAATGCAAATGAAACCAAATTAATTGCTCTATCATGCTAACAGTTTCATTTCCCCCAAGATGTAACTTAATTACATGCTTTTGTTAGAGAGAGAGGTCTTAAAGGCCTTTAATTTATTCACATGCCCGTCAGATCTCTGGTGAGCTGTGTCTTGGAGCCCTGATACTGACATGCATGATGACCCACATTAACAGGAAAACACTGCCCAGGGATGTTGCCCAGTGAATTATCTTTGATGGCCTCCTCTTCCTTGACTCATTAGATTTGACTTTAAGGTGTTTGGTATTATTTTTCGTAGAATGTGCACCAAGACTGCTATAAAACATGATGATTATACAGACTTCAATGTGCAGAAAGAGATACAGGCTCCTGGGGGGTTATAGGAAACAGTCCTGGGAATTAAATATTCATTATTACCCATCTTAAAGCAAATCTTAAGATTACATCTAAAAATATAAAGCCCAACCTATACATTAAGAGGCATGACTGTCTGTTCTCAGTTTTCCATTTCCATACAACAGTTAATCTGCGATTGCTAACAAGCAGCATCTTTCCTGGGGAGTAATTCCGCAGCTAATGACAAATTAATCGGTTTACAGTCATTACTTATTAAAAGGCTGGGTAGTTAACCTTTTCATTCCTTACACAGCACAAACAAGAAGGAACTACATTGATTTGCAGTGTTGCTGATAATGCTATATAGCATTTCTAGGTACTTTATCTTGACCTTATCGAGCATAAGTCTGGACAAAAAAAAAATCTTTGAGGTTTTGCAGCAGTTCAGTGTTTCTAAGATTATACACTTCACACCATGCTAGATGATGAACTC